ATAATTACAAATGTGAACTATGCATATAAAAATAAAACTAAGAAATGCATAATAAAGTAAAAGGAATGTTTTTAAATATATTACTCCTATAGTTTAACAATGAAACTTAAAATACGAAAATTAACATAAGAGTATTTTTTTGCAATTTGAGGCAAAGATTAATTTTCACAGCAATACCTGATGCTGGCAAAGTTGTAAGGAAATGAGTACTCTCAAAATACATTGATAGAAGTGTACTCTGGTATTGTTCACCTGTGTAATTGATGAATACTTAGTTCAAATTTGAAACACATGTGTATTCACACAAAAATTCTACATGTACGAATCACATCTTCCTCCTTCCGCCTTAGAGGTCAGCCATTCTCCTGACTTGTATAATAATGATTTCCTTGTTTTCTTTATATTTTTAACACTTATGTATGCATTCTGTATTAGTTACAGCAGGTTAAACTACTGTAACAAAATAATACACATAATAGCTCAAACACAAAAAATTTAATTATCTGTTAGGGTGGACACTGTGGGTTGCCAGGGGTCAACACTGTCAACAATCTCAGGCTGATGGTGGCTCTGCCTTTCTCAGCACATGACTTCAAATACTGCTCTGAAGATTGCCATCCTGGCGCATGGAAGAAGAAAAGAGCACAGAGTAGCATGCATGGGAAGCTTTAGGAACCAGACGTAGAAGGGGCACACAACAATTCCACTCCACATCACTGAAGAAAAGTTTGTCACATGTGCACACCTAAGTGCAAGAAAGGCTAGGAAATGAGGTAATCTGTTCAACTACAATTCTATTATTACCAAAGGAGGAAAGAACAGATTTTGATGGACAGGTAGCAGTACTGCCACACATCTCTAAACCATATAGCTGAGTTTTGCCTTTTTTGAACTTTATATGAATGGAAACATACTATGTGATTCTTTTGCCATCTGGCTTCTTTTGTTTGTGTTTAAACTCTTTGAACTAAACTGTCTTAAATAAATGTATGCAGAGAATATGGTACAGAAAGAAATGTTCAAGCTGGGAGTTATGCTACCTGAGCTATACAGTCCTAGAACTACAACTTCATTAGTAAAGCAACCTTCTAGATTCCATTTCCTCATACACAAATAAGGAACTGGTTAATGTGCTCTCTTAATCTCCATAATCGATCATGCTACCCACTCATCTTTCATCAAATATGTTATTTCCACACCTTTTACATCATGAATTTGCACTGAGCCAGTCACTCACTCACTTTTCCCCCAGCATTCCCTCTCCAACAAGATTGATAACTAGCATTTGCACAATGGCTGCTTGGAGTACCAGGTACCTTTTATATTCAGCAATCACAGCAACATTAACTGGTTTGAACCTCGGCCCTTCTGACCCTGGCCTCATTAACACTATATTCTAACTAAACTAATTCGCCAGACTCTACACATGAAATATTTAAAGCTGATTACTAAGCTATTTGCTTCAAAGAAAATACTTTAAAAGTATCTTTGCTTCTGTTAACAGTGGTTGTCTCTGAATTTGGAAACTGAGTGGTTGCAGCCGCAAGGAGAGAGGGAACCATACTTTTTTTGATGGTTTTAAGATATGTCCCCAAATTCCTTGACATGCCTCTCTTCAAGAGGTGAGGCCTAATTCCCCTCTCTTTAGTGCGAGGTATATTTGACGACTCACTTCTAATAAACATAAAGTGGTAAAAATGATGGTAACTGGTGGCTTATAAAGCTAGGTCATAAAAAACACAGAAGCAGAGCGTGTGTGCGTGTCTGTGTGTGTGTGTGTGTCTGTCTGTCTGTCTTTTGTCTGCCTGTCTTCTGTCTGTCTCATCACTGGGGTAGCGAGCTGCCATATCATGAAGACACTCAGGCAGTCCTATAGAGAGGTCCACATAGCAAGGAATTGAGATCTCCTGTCAAAAGCTGAAGACATTCTCCAGGTAAGGAACGGAGGCCTTCTACCAACAGTTACATGAATGAGCCATATAAGAAGCAAATGTTCCAGCCCGTCAGGCCTTCAGATGACTACAGCTTCAGCCAACAGAGTGACTACAATCTCATGAGACCCAAGCCAGAACCGCCCAGCTAAATTACTCCTGGATTTCTGACCCACAGAAACTGTATGAGATAATAAATATTTATTATCATTTTAAGTTGCTAAATTTTGAGGCAATTTGTTATATAGCTAATAGATAATACACTTATCTATAGATATATTTTTATCCGTTTTTTAATGCCATAACATATATTGCCTATTTTTTAAAATAATTTGTTTTAAACACCTCTTTCCCTAACGTAATTTTCTTATTCAAATTATACTATCTCCTCTAAATTAATAGAGATCACTTTTAGAAATATTCTCTGTTCAAGACCTCCCCCACACAAAATATACTAAGTACTACAAACTGGTACTCTTTTTAGGCTCTACTGGACATATTCTCTTTGAGGTATATTAAGATCCTGGGAATGCTATAATTTATCAGGGGGTGGTAGAAAAATTAATGGAATCAGTGCAAACAACTGTGTGATATAGCAATGCAAATGCAATCTCAATGGTTAAAAAGGAACTTGCAGGCACTTTATGGCTCAACTTTCATCATAGAACGAAAACATATAATGAAGAACTCACATTCAACCACAATCAGATAAGAAGCATGTTACTATTCCAAGTTGCTTTGTTTTAAACCACATTTTAGAATGATAGATAGGTAGTGTCCCTCAAATTAGTCTTAAAAGGTATTTCTCAGATTTAACTTCAACCTAGCAACTATTCTTCTTCCATAAACTAGCAAAGAAAAATTAATGGAAATAAAATAAAACAAAACCAACTTTTTTTAAAAAAAAAAATTGGGGAATTGGGGGAGGGGAACAGACAAGTTGCTGTTGTTTTGTTCTTCACTCTAGTTGTGGAGGCTGTTGCTTCACTGGCCCATGTTAGTATGATCATTGCGCTCTTCCCGGATGAGACAGATCAGTCGCTGGCCTCTGGACGGCCGCTCACAGCGGCTCTTGGCAGCTCACACCAGATTCCTGCTACTCACGCTGGCTGCCGGCCACACACGGTAGCTTATGGCAGCCCACTGCACCAGGGGCTGCAGCCTACGCCGTCGCAGGCGACTCATGGCTGCCCAGCTCCAGGTCGAGCTGTTGTTCACCATCTTAGCTGTAGAGGGCTGTGTCACTGGCCCTCATGTGGGATATGAACCGGGGCCCTGCTGCTCAGAGCTGGCGTCCCAAGCCAGTTCTTAACCGACGTGCCACTCAGCTGGCCCAAACAAAACCAACTTTTAAGGAACAACATGTCACAAAATACTGTTGTGGTGAAAAATTATAAATAAAATTTTTGTGAAGTGAATTTAATAAAACTGGCTTGTGACGTTACCTCACAAGAGTTGTATCAGAAGTATACAAAGAATAAATCAATAATTTGAGGAGTAAGAACAGGGAATCCTAGTCAAGGTTATGCCTACACACATTAATAATTCAGTTATGAGTTCAATTGTTTGATAAGTGGGTCATATTAATTCAAAACTATTAGGTGTTAAATGGCTCTGTCACTTACTAGTTGTATGACCTTGAATAAGTTATTTAACTTCTCTGTCTCAGTTTTCTCATCTTTAACACGAGCTATTAGTTCCTAATGCATAAGGTGGCTGTAATGATTAAATAAGGTAATTTATAAGCATAAAAGTACACAGTTAGCCCTCAATAAATGGTGCTCAGTAGTTATTAGTAGACTACGTATATTTGGAAAGTAATATTCCGAAAATATCTGATTTTAATAAATCTGACTTTATTATTGAAGGGATCAGGTGAAAAACAGTTGGTGGGCAGAAAAAAATCCTAGATTTAAAGCCCACTAAATACAACAATATACACATTTCACAGGTGCAGTCATCAAATGTTAAGTCATATATGATAATGACCAGCTACTTTTCAACATTCTTGAACTATCCAGAAGTTCACAGGTTTTACAGGAACTCAAAAATATAACAGAGGGCCGGCCAAGCGGCACGTTGGTTAAGAACTGGCTTGGGACGCCAGAGGGCCCCGGTTCGGATCCCACATATGAGGGCCAGTGACACTGCCCTCTGCAGCTAAGATGGTGAACGGCAGCTCGACCTCAGGCTGGGCTGCCATGGGTCGCCGGCGACGGCATAGGCTGCAGTCCCCTGCTGCAGTGGGTTGCCATAAGCTACCGTGTGTAGCCGGCAACCAGCGTGAGCGGGCAGCAGCCGCTGTGAGCGGCCATCCAGAGGCTGGCAACTGATCTGCCTCGCCCGGGAAGAGCGCAATGATGGTGCCAACTTGGGCCAGTGAAGCAACATCCTCCACAACTAGACTGAAGAACAAAACAACAGCAACTTGTCTATTCCCCTTCCCCCGATTCCCCAGCGCTATTCCTCCTCCTCCAATTCCCCAATTTAAAAAAATAATAAAATTTTTTTACATAAAAAAAAATAACTGATATTAGAGCATAATTTGATCGAGATTCTGGCAAAGATATAAAATAATTCTAGTAAGTCAACAAAACACTAGAACAAAAACAGTAAAAATAAAAAGGGAAGATATTTTTGGTTAATACTTCTAAATCTTCCCTTAAACTATCCCCCCTCTTGTTTTTGTTATTGTTGTTTTAACTCAGCGGTTCTCAACCTGTGGGTCGCGACCCCTTTGGGGGTCGAACGACCCTTTCACAGAGGTCGCCTAAGACCATCGGAAAACAAAAAGATATTTACATTACGATTCATAACACTAGCAAAATTACAGTTATAGAGTAGCAACGAAAATAATTTTATGGTTGGGGGTCACCACAACATGAGGAACTGTATTAAGGGGTTGAGGCATTAGGAAGATTGAGAACCGCTGTAATTTAACTACATCAGTTAATTGGCTTAAAAACAGCTATTGATAAAATACTTTTTAAAAGCTGAAAACAGAGAGAGGCGCAAACGATCAACTGAAAAGCAGTTACCATATTCACAAAGCCACTGATAAAGTCTTACCACCGTAAAATCGAAGCATACAGCCAAGGTCAGGATTCGTCGCTTCCTCCTGTATGCGCACGGGATCATCATAGCCCAGCCTGGATAAGTAATCATACACAATCTGAAGAGGTCGTTCAGTAGGTTCCAGTCTCCTGCTTGCACAATTCAAAAGAAAAATATTTAGTAAGGAATAAAAATGCATCATTTAATTTTTTTTTCTTTTAATATGCTCTAGATTTTTACTTCTATGTCAAGATTTTCTTTAGTATCATGTGATACAATTACACTAAATAAGTGGTGTTCAAAGATTTTGGTCTCAGGATCCCTCTACAGTCTTTAAGGACCTCAAAGAGCTTTTGTTTCCATGGGGTATATTTGATATTTACCGAATTAGAAATTAAGAATTTCCAAACATTTGTTTATTCACTTTTAAATAATAAACCAATCCTATGTTAACATAAATAATATGTTTTGAAAAATATATTTTCCAAAATAAAACAACTTTAGTGAGGAGAATGGCACTGTTTTCACATTTTTGTAAATCTCTTTAATAGCTAATTGAATGGAAAACAGCTCTCGATGCTCAGATCTGCCTCTACATTCAATCTGTTATGATAACATGCTAGTTAGCCTCTAGAAAACTCAACTGGACATGCATGAGAGACTGAGAGTGAAAAAGAAAATGCCTTAATATTATTATGAAATAGTTTTGACCTCATGCTTCTCTTCAAAGAGCCTTAGGGACTCCCACACGGTCCTTTGAGGATCTCTGGTTCAAACTTAAAGACAGTGAAATTATGAGATTTAAAGGTTATACTTGGTCATATTTGATTTCATATAAGCTGCACACATAATTAGAGATGCAGGCTTTAGGTTGCCTCTTATGTCCCAGGTACTATATATTTCCACTTTCTTCATAGATGATTTTCCCACAAAAAGTAGGAAGGAACGGCCCAATGATTCCCCAGAAACCATTCTACCACATGGTCCTGACTGAAAGCTAAAGTAAAATCAGAATGTCTAATAATCATTTGAGGCCTCTGGTGACGCTGCATATTTTAAACCACACAAACTTAAAATACTTAAAAAGCAAAAATTATCTATGTGTATTTTGATAAAAGGGGCTACATCAGTAATAACTGCAAGACAGCTCTTCTATAATTCTTTTATCAGAAAGCACACTGTTATAAAGACCGGGGCACCAAAAAACGTAGACGAGCGGACACTTGGTCAGCATTGCTCAAGCAGTAGTTCGCTGTAATCAGAAGTGTCTAGACACTGATGGTAACCACTTTGAGCAGCTCTTGTAATTGCAGAAGTCAAACGTGACTTGTATTCATCTTTTCTTATCGGTATGTATTTGAGTATTACTATTTTAATGCAGTTTTCCTTTCTTAAAATGTGTATTCATTTTTTTGGCACCCTCTGTACAGTGGCTAAGAGTATTGGCTCCAAAAGTCAGGCTGCCTGGGCTTGTGTCTCAGTTCTGCCACTTACTAACTACATGCCCTTCAACAAGCTGTTTATTAACCTTGTTGTCTTCAATTCCTCATCAGTATAAATGGAATAACAATAGTACCTAATTCACAGAGTTGTTATTTATTTACTTACTTGCAAGGTATTATATAGTATGTAAAGTGTTTAGTGAAATATCTTGCATATAGTAGTGTTAAACAGCACATTGACAACTATTAGTAAAAAACAATTCTTAGGACTGAAACCATATTTTAATTAGAAAAAAAATAGAGCATCTCCTCATCTAAAACAACAACAAAAGAACAAGTATAGGAAAGTCTACGTGTGTTCAAAAGGTTTTGAAGAACATTAGTCTTTATATTTTAAAAGAGTTCTGTTTAGAAAACTTAAGAATTGTATTAATTACAATAAAAGAAACACAATATACCTCCCATCATGGCAAAAAGATATGCAGGACATCTGTGTTTTGTGGTTAAATACTAGAAAATACTGTTGGCAAGAAGATTTAATAAAAATAAAAGAAAAAAACATGAAATAGGAATGCTACAAAGCTGAATATAAACAACTGTATCAAAATTATAATTTTGGAGTAGAAATCATACTGATGAGCACAAAAAAACAAACTAAAACAACCACCTGGCCCATCCTGACTGTTCAGCACAGGCTTGTAGCTTCTATAAACTCAGCACTACTACATAGGGGATGACCAAAGAACTAAAAGCCTACAAAGACCAATAAATACTGAATTTAATAGAAACAAAAAATAAACGTTTCAGAATAAAAACATCAGTTATAATTAATCTCTAGTTAGAATATGCACAAGGGACTATAACAATATTAGGGATTTTCCCCACACAATGGTAGAAGTCTTCTAAGAAGGATGCATTTTAAGAGGAACTTCTAAAAAACTACGATTAGCCATGTAATATGAAGGCTGACTGAAGGATTATCTTGAACACAAGAAGACCAAGGGCATAAAGAGTTACCTCTATCTTCCAACATCAAGAAGGATTACACTTACTCTGCATTGCTCCAAAGAATGGACTAGAGCAATGAGAAGTTGTTGCACAGGTAAACTTGGGTTACAAATGAGAAAGAACCTTAATAATTAGAGATGCCCAATAATGAAAGGGACTGCCTCTCAAAATAGCTCACAGAGCTAGAGCCATCTGTCGTGGGTATTTTAGAAGAGACTCCTATAAGAATCAAGTTGGGCCAGATGATCTTTAGGATCTTTTAGAGCTCACGAGTCTGTGCAATATCTAATACACCTTCCTAACAAGGCAAATTCTACTGAACCCTGCTATTGTTTTTGGACACAGAGTTCAATGTATTTAAATGTCAATTCCATATAATGATCACATATTCAGGACAAATATTAATAACACTGTCAGGTTAAATCTTACTAGCTCATTTTTTAAATTTCTCTCTAGAAAACCAAGAGAAATGGAAACATTCTAATTCTCAAATATTTTATATGATCAAATTTTCTTTCCTAAAAAGGTTGTGTAGATTTTGAAACCCTTTTTATGTACTTCCACCTAAAGAAAGTATTTTCCCTGGTGGGAGAAAAAAAAAATCAAGAGAATCTCCACATCTGCTCTTATTAATTTAGCATAAATGAGTAAACAAGAAATATTTCAAGACTGCAAAAACAAGTAAAATGAGAGACTAATTCCATTTACTCATTAAACTCCTCTGCTTGAGAGAGTAAAGAATATGGGGGAGGGAAATGCTATAGTATGCTTACAGATCAATTTTGTGTTTCCAAGTTCCAAAAGTTTAACAGACTGTTAATTAGCTATTTGTTAAAACTCTCACAAATCAAAGTAAAATTACATACTGCAAAACAGGTGTAGGAGAGAGTAATGTTGGCAATGAAAGGTTCCGTTCAGCATTTGAAATACTACTAACTGCTTTAAGGAGAGACAATAAAACTACTGTAATAGTTTTAGTTTGCTTCTAAGTCTTCGAGGAGCTACTATGTCTTTGTAAATCTAAATACATACACACATGGTTATTTCTCTCAAAACCAGCCAACCAATACAGTAATGCTATCAACAGTGGTTTATAGCTCTTAGCCAAGAGTAGTAACCAAGTTATTCTAAATAGTGCCCACAGTTAAGATACACATAAAAGAGTACATTTCATTCCAAGTATAGTATCACTCCACAAGAATTATAGTTAATAGTGGGAGGCAAAGGTACACATTATTAAAATCCAACAAAGGGAATAAAACACTATATCAAAGACCCTAACAAAGCACAGCAGCTTTCTCTACATCAAATTCAGATTAAAACCCAAGCCCTGGGCACTTATAACAGTAAAATCTGCAAACGTTAAGCTCCACAATACAGATAATAATACAAATAGCAACAATAAGGATACTTTAATAAATGTCTACTCCAGGCCTGACACTATATGGGGGAGTGTTTTATGTTTTAGAAAGCTATGCCTATTTTTTTTTTTAAGATTTTTATTGGGGAATTGGGGGGATGGGAACAGACAAGTTGCTATCGCCTTGCTCCTCAGTCCAGCCGCGGAGGGCGCCGCCCCACCGGCCCAAGCCGGCACCATCACTGCCCTCCTCCCGGACGAGGCAGACCAGTCGCCGGCCTCTGGACGGCTGCTCGCTGTGGCTGCCAGCCACCCACGCCGGCCGCCGGCCACACACGGCAGCCCATGGCAACCCACCGCCACGGGGGCCACAGCCCACGCCGTCGCCGGCGACCCACGGCAGCCCAGTTCCAGGTGAAAGCTATGCCTATTTTGCAAATAAGAAAAATTAGGTTCAGAGTCACACAGTTAGTACATAATGGCATCAAGGTTTGAACCTGTGCCCGGTTCATTACACAGCCTAACTTCCTTTAGGCAAACCACATTATTTTACAGTTAAAATAATTTATGCAGAAGACAGCTTGACGCACTTCCTATGTTAACTTACACCAAGGAATCTAAAAAGTTGTTTTAAAATTACTGTATTTCATTACATCTATTACACCATTATTTGAAAAATACGCTATTTTTTTATGCATCATTGCTGTATAATAAAAAATTTTACTAGTCTTGTCCCTGGTTTATTGGAGGAAGATTCTAAATCCTTGGAATTTCCTGAGTAATGGGAGGGTTTTAGTTATTTCTGAGCCTTAGATCACCTCTGAGTTTACGCTAAGAGATGAGATGACTCAGGATGGGGTCTGGTCACCAGAAAGACCAACTATGTCAATAGAGGGTTGGATTGGGGCTTGGAGCCAGCCTGACCTTGCAAGAGGAGAGAGGGCTGGAGACTAAATTCAATCACATGGTCAGTGATCCAATCAGTCAGGTCTACCCAATGAAACCCCAATAAAAACTCTGTAACAAAGTTCTGTGGCACTTCCTGGTGGGTAAACTGATGTCCTGGGAGGATGACACGGGGGAAGGGCATGTAAGTTCTACATTCAGGGCCCCTATGTGTCTCTTCATTTGGCTGCTCTTGATTTGTATCCATTATACTAAAGCTGTAATTTTAAGTCTAGTGCTTTCTTGAGTTCTGTGAGTCATTCTAGTGATTTACTGAACTTGAAGGTATCATGGGAACCCCCAAATTTGTATCCAGTTGGTCAAAAATGTGGCCAGAATCTGAAGTAAGGGCAGTCTTATTGGAGACTATGCCCTTTAACTTTTGAAGTCAGTG